CCCCCCCCCCCCCCCCCAACATGTCATGTCTTGCCGGCTCGACGAACACCTTTGTCGTGCCTTCCGCCATCTCCCACAGGTACAAGGTGGGGTTCGGTCCGGGACCAATACCTCGCTACAAGACAAAGCAGCCTCCGAGCAAGCGAGCATGGCGGCGGCGAAGCACATCCTTCTGGCGCCTACATAAGACTTGCCCCGACAAGTATCGACCTCGTCGAGAAATCAAAGCTCTCACGAAACTCGCCCTCGCCCCCCCAAGCAACGAGCTCGGTGATAAATCAGTCTCTCACCATCCCGCGAGTGTGGATCTGCAAGATCTGGAGCCGCCCCGCCTCGTCCGGGAGGCCAATCTCCACGTGCACCTCCAGACGCCCGGGCCGCAGCAGCGCATCGTCGATCATGTCCTGCGGAGCAACAACGCAAAAAAAAAAAGCGGAAAAACTTAAAAAAACTTGAATGGACGCACATATGTATCCGAACAGGTCGCGCGTGAAGTGAGTCTTTGTGGGTGAGCTGGCGGGCGGGGTGGCAGCAGGAAAGAAGAGAGGCTGTGCAACCCTAGCCAGTCGAGTTTTGATCGCGTTTAGGAGCGCTCTGTTGCACGAAAAATAGCCACTCGGTCGCTTTTCGGGGAACGGAGAGAAGGCACAGCTAGTCGACAAGGCAGGGCCAAGGCGCACGATTGCTTCAGACAGTGGTGGTAACATGCACCTTGCGGTTGGTCATCCCGATGATGAGAACGTTGTTGAGGGAGTCTACGCCGTCGATCTTGGAGAGGAGCTGGTTCACCACCGAGTCCGACACGCCGGTGCCGTCCCTGACGGTCCCTCTGGTCTTGCAGATGGCGTCGATCTCGTCGAAGATGACGATGTGGAGCATGCTGGCCTCGCCCTGGTCCGCCTGTGGCGACGCCCGCGAGAGAGGGGGGGGCGACGACGCCGTGAGTGTTGGTCCAGGAAACGAGGCAGTGAGAGAGCACAGCAGAGTACAGAACATCGCGATAATAGAGAGTAAGGCAGAGCAATTGCCAGACGGGTGCGGGGGGGGGGGGGGGGGGGGGG